AATTAAATTTTCCTACCGATTTCAAAGCGATTTATCAATCCATTTATTATACATTTTCAGTTATCCATAGTTTGTAAGTTAGAATTTACAAAAACCTCTCACATTCATTGCTTGTCTTTGAAAATATTGTCATTTAAACTACCAAAGTCAGTCCTAATAAAACGCTTTTAATACTGTACTCACACACATGACGTAACGCATACAGGCCGCTTGCTTCGTCCATGTAGCCTGCCGTAGCAGTGGCGGCGAACGCCCAATGCCTCAGCTCTTGTAGCTCCGCAAGATCGATCCGCAGTGCAAGTCTTCTCATGATGGCTATGAATCACTCAAGCTCTTAAGCGACGTTTTAATAGCCGGATAATTACGAGAAAATCACTTTCTCAAGTGGATGGTTCACAGTTTTTGTCTTTGTCCAAGACTTCTTGTAAAAGCTTCATTGTGTTTGATTCCTAATAAACGATTAGCAGCTTTCAGTGCAATCAATGTGCCGGAACTGGGAAATATTTTTTAATATCTGTTACGACTTGGGATTGGCGATTGATATATATTGAGCACGTTGTACTGTAAATCTATTTGAAATAGTCTTATAATTCCATTTTAATAATTTTGACTGACTTGGTAACGTCAAGACTTTCAGTAGCGTTCGATCACTAGATTTTAATTATTCAGAAATTAAGCTGCTTTTTTGGTTCATAACAATCACCGCATTGACGAATCAATGCGGTGTAATTCTACCGCATTGACGAATCAATGATCGAAACACGAGTTGGAGATATTTCCTATACAAAAAATTAATACCAATGCCGTTTTTAATCGCCTTGCTCGATGTATTTTGAATAACACGTTAACCCATTGCCTCCTAGCGGTATCGTGTGTTACCACATAATTTACTCGTAAATAAAATTTTCTCGATTGCAACGGGGTGCGTGAAAACTCGTTTGCCGTGTATTCAAGCCTACTAATAACTTAATAAGTCAGGCTACATTGTTGCCAACTTTCAAGATCAGTGCTAACACAGCGATGTTGAGAGACGTGGCGAAAAATGATTTGGCTTTAGAGATGTGACAAAAAAAGGCTCTGTTCCAAAATTGCGCGGCATGAAAAGTGATGATAATTATGATTAAATTAATTTTTTAGTTTTTGGGAGACAAAATGTAGGGCAATAGATATGAAAATAAAGAGCTACCGCAATAAATATGCTACCGCTAGGATGATTCGAGTGCAGATATCTTCAAATACATATTTTACGAATCTCGTTCTCTGAATGAAATCTTGGGCCATGCAATAGAAACGAGCAATGAAAATGACTTATTCTCTGAACCACCTGATATTCCTAATCTTCTTGGAGATGACTATAGATGATCAAAACCTAGATTAAAGCAAAAAACGTAGATCAACTTTAGCATGGACAGCTCGATCTGGCCTCCCGCAGAACTGAATTTGCATGAGGAAATTTATCAACTGATCCAACTGATAATCGTTCACTAGTTAAGTCCTTCTTCATTGACGAGACGAAAAAAAGCGCATCGGATGAGAGTTGAAAAATTCGTTTAGACGTAAATAGCCTCTCGTGTAACCATGCACTATAGTTATCCTAAAGAAAAATATACTGTAAATTCGCCGTATTCCGCAGGAGAGTTTGTCGAATTGTTTGTGGAAGAGGTGATTATTTTGCTGTACATAAAGGATGAAATCACTGAGTGCGCAATACAAAGAAATTGCCCTCATGTGAATGAGAAAACATATACGAACTAAGAGTATTAATAATTATATAGTTATTGAGTGTGTATAATCTTCTTGCTGGTAAGGCATTGTATTGGCCAAAGTTAGCAGATCTTTTCAACAAAGCAGTTTCCAATGCGATGAGATAAGATAGACCTAATAACAACACAAAATAGTTGCATTGTGCTGCTGTGAAATTAGATAAATCGGGCATATAATGGAAATTGTGGCCTCGCGGCCCATTAATTTTTTATACGACATTTGAGTAGCAAATTTATGTTACACTTCATCTCGACAAAAAAAAAATTATCTCAGGACGAAGCCATGATCAAAAAATTTTGGAAACTTGGGTGTAAAGGGCGACAAAATATGAGCCATTACGATTTGGGTACATATTGTGTAGAGGGCCCTCTATATTATGAAGGCCGTACGCACATGCAAATAAAATGCTGCATATGCAGCGTTGACTTAGGAGTGAATTGCTTTCTTCCTTATCATTTCCAATGATTTCTTTCGGTGAAATGGTATTTCATTTGATAGAAACAAATCAAGCGTCATTGGGAACATATGCCTGACAAAATTTCTTATTAACTTAATAATTTATACGAAACCGAACAAGTCAGATTTGCACTCGAGTCCTCCTAGCGTTACCATATGGTACCAGCTCGTATCTCTTATAATAAAAGTAAATAATTTGTTTTGCACTCATGAACAATCTTAATACATTCTAAAGACTATATATATTATTATCAACGTCAGGACAATCGAAAAACCTTTTTCTCTCAGGGAATGTGTTGAAATCATTTCTATGGAATGATTTTGTCAACTGTAATGTTCTCTCAATAAAATAACCCCAGTGTATTTTTTCATTTAATACTGAATAAATTTAATCCATAATCTTTTGCCAGTTATTATTTAAGAATGATCCTAATCGCCAAAATTAATGGCAAAACAATTAATGATTAAAGTGATTTCAAAATATATTTTCTTTATTATATTAACATAATTTCAATCTAAGATAAATATCTTGGAAAGCTGTTACGAAGTTTTGTTTCAGCGATAATAACTCTTTATTTAATGACTGTTGGATGTGTTACTTCTTACTCTATCGAATTTTATGAAATGAAAGCGCTTTTTGTTCATGAAACAATTTTGAAGAGATCGCCCGTGGTTGCTCATCTATTGCAAAATAAAGTTCAATTCGCTTCTCGTCCGAAAATGTGAAGTTCATCAAGAGCGATGAAGAATTAGAAAAGCTTTGAAGTGCTTTTAGTAGAGCATCTGTCTTGGTTCAAATGATCTCTTGACGTCTCACATTCAGCCATCCGCTAATTAGCCCAAGATACAAAAGTTATGGATTGCTAGACAGCACAAAGGTCAGAAGCTGCTGCTTCTCACGGGGCTGCAGTTAATGCTAGCGTTAATACACCACAGGCAGCTTATAGCTGCGGTCCTCGCGACAACTAACCGCGTTATCGGTCAAAATTTCATATTGCCCCAAACGAGTGATATAAGATCAGAATTACATACTAAACAATGAACAGTTAGTTTAGCATTGCTAGTCATGACATTAATAAAGTTTAATTATCTGTCAAAAATTACTACTGGTCAACCAACGTTGTGAAAACGTTGATTAAAAAATCGATCATTTGTTGAAGTTCATGGCCTGAATATCGCTGGATGATCTCATAATTTCATATTATGAGATGGTTCTGGTACCGTTCGACGCGTCAGAAAGTAAGCTTTAAGATGAGTATAAGCACCAGATAATGCCATAATTGGCCGCTTTACGTCAGACTATCCTTTTTAGTGTGTCCTGCCTTCGAATTAATCCCATAGACTTCACTGAAGGGCCCTCGAAACCGCCCCCCTTAAGGGAGCTGTCACGAATTCATTTTTTGACGTAGAGAGATGATTCTGGTACCGTTCGATGCGTCAGAAAGTAAGCTTTAAGATGAGCACAAAAACCGGAAAACGCCAGAATTGAAAATTTAGGGGTAGACGGTCCCCTTAAACTGAACCATTGGCAGGCTATTGAAATTGATGATGTGTTACGTGACTTCAGCTGCTGAATTTTTCGGGTATAGAGGCGAATGGAGACCTGTTCACAGTATTGGCTTAACCATTTGCAAAGTTTGAAATCATATTTTTCAAATTATTTGAGCCTCTTAAATTAAAATGATTAAATTACCTTTGATCTCTCTGGTAATTTCCTCATTTAGTTTCTTCTATGAGCTCTAGTTATTTCACAACAAGAAGCGGTACTGCTAAAGAAAGCATACTTTCTATCAGGCTCACTCTTCAGTGGTGATTCTGCAGCACTTATTTTTCTAGCTGCAGTGTCGATTTCCTGAATCTACGGTGCTGATTCTACTGACCCTACTAACACTGAAAAATTCTACTGAAGTTGCAGAATTAATGCTGACACGGCAGAATTAGAGCTTGACAAGCAGAATCAATAACAACACTGCAGTATTATTGCTAACCCTCCAAAATGCTGCTGAATGGAAATAATTGGTGCTAATAGTGCTTAATGAATCCGTGCAGGACAATATTAATAATCAATATTAATTAATAATACTAATAGCGCTTAATGAATCAGTGCAACATAATAATATTTATCAATATTAATTAATAATACAATGTCCCCGCCCTAGAATTAAAATCTTCGTGAACTTGAATATTACGGGGCAATAAAAAACACTTCTCTGAGCTATTCGCTCTCGGACACTGCTTTCATGTAAACATCTGTCAACTGGGAAGCAAGGGCAGGCTGCGAATTAGAGCAATAGAGTCATCGCCCAAATAACAATTTCTAAATTGTCATAAAGTATAAAAACGTTGCACATAAAAATCATAGTTGGGATCGAGTTTTTGCACGCCACCCTATATTATGCATGGCCATCAACCGCATAATTTAAAATTCTTTAAGGGGAACGTCTAGGGTAAAATTTTGGATTTCGGCTTTTCCGGTTTTTAGTCTCATCTTAAAGCTGACATTCTGATCTATCCAACGGTACCAAAACCATCTCTTTCAGGATACTTTATTAATGAATATTATTTCTGTAGTAACAATAAATGAAACTTTATAATTATTAAATATACCACTAAACGAAGTCAGTGCAACATCCATAAATATTTAATTTACTAAATATTTATTCAAATAATAACATTCAGGCAGGTACCTGAGAAAATTCATTATCGCTCATTCTTAGCACGATCAGTCATTTCTATTTAATTCACGACATTAATATTTTAATGGTAAATAGGAGGATGGAGCCATGCAGTCATCACAATTATTTAGTTATGATCGTTTGAACAACTGTTATATCGTAGTTAATAATCAATCGGGCATACCTTTTTTAGTCGCCATAATTTACAACATTGATGTTAAGAAGTTGCAATTCACTAAGTATAATATCTTATATATGATATGAGGTGTTATGCTTCACATTAGAAACTGTGCTTAATATATAATCCAGCCCAAAAGCTTTGGTTAAACATTCGTTACCAACCTCGTCGTCTATTTCATGTTTCGGTCACTGCTTTCTAGCGAAATTTCGGCAATGAGGCTCTCAACCTCATCATATAATAATCCTTTGACCCCATTTTTGTACTCGAATTAATGTATTCCCAAATGAAGGCAAACTCTGCAACTAAGTAATGAAGTAATGAGAAATTATTAGCGTGATCGATCACTGAGTGCCTCGGACCCGAACCCTATCCTCACACCGCGGCCCCGTGTGTGTGACGGCACAACAGAATTTATGACAGCGATTATTCACTGAGTCCCTCGGTCCCGAACCTTGATCTCATACCGCGGTCCCGTCTGTGTGACGGCACAATAAATTTAATAACAGCGATTATTCACAAAGTCCCTCGGTGCCGAACCCTGTTCTCACACCGCGGTCCCGTGTGTGTGGCAGCACAATAGAATTAATAACAGTGATTATTCACTGTGTCCCTCGGTCCCGTGTGTGTGACGGTACAATAGAATTAATAACAACGATAATTCACTGAGTCCCTCGGTCCCGAACCCTGATCTCGCACCTCAATCCCCAGTGTGTTGGCACAATAGAATTTATGACAGTGATTATTCACTGTGTCCCTCGGTCCCGAACTCTGATCTCACACCGCGGTCCCGTGTGTGTGACGGGACAGGAGCAAGAGTGTGTCCCGTCGCTCTTGATCTGACAAATGCCGTCGTGTCGGCAGTAACGGGTCGGGCAGTAGGCTTCATCGCACCTTAATCCTGCAAAATTAATTGAGGTTAACGCAAATTAGCTCGCAAACTATTTGAAATTTATGCAAAAAACTCTGTATTCAAATAAATTAAACCCAAATTGACTTTAATCTGATGAATAACGAGTACAAAAGTAAAATATAATAACTGATCAACGTACTAAAAAGATTTTTTGGGTTCGTGTATCAATTAATTTCGTCAATCGTGATCCGATCATTTTATGCAAAAAGATATTTGGTACATTTCTAGCTTTAAAAATGTATAATAATACTGTGCCATAAAAGTATAAATTTCAATCAATAATATCTTCTGGAAAAGTAAGTTACATCAAGTTATTATCAGTTAAGTTACATCATATGAGGTTTATCGAAAAATAGCGGATTGAGCAGTTGGGCGACTACTGCATCTCTGCGTCACCTGTGCAGACAAAAATGTTGATGTGGTCTAGTTATAAAGGCATTGGGCTTGAGTAACATTTAATATCTTATTTAGAATTTAATTACCTCTAATAACACTTAACATTGAGCTGCGCTCATAATGTCTCTATTTATTTACCTCTAAAGCCAAAGGTGCAGACGCACAGGTAGCCCCGAGTGCCTGTCACGCACGAAGCCCCGTTGTTGCACGGCCTTGCCGAGCACTGGCCCTCGACGCTGTCATGGAAAAGCCTCGAGGACGAAACTCCTGAAGAACTTGTGGACGTCAGAGCTGAGCTGGATGGTTGAGCCGCATGTTCCTGAAGGTATTTGGAACTGATACTTTTTTATGAAACACAATCGGGAATTTCTGAGCAATCGATTGTAATTTTCGAGAGTTGATTTCGCTCTGTCAATTTTTATTTTGTGAATTCAAACACTCTGAGTTCTATGCAAATACAAGGAAACAACATCGTGTTGAACATGAGTCAAATAAGTCTCTTGTTAGATGATATTCCTAACGAGATTGCAAAGAAAACTGTATCAAAATACCAACGAGTGATGTGATATAGTAAAATTGCTAAGCAGTTCTATCAACCTGAGCTTGAGAAATTACATTATGTCTTACCTCACCGTAGTGCCTTCTCTCGTGCTTTAGTAAATTGTCGTTTTTCCATTCTTTTTCTTCTTCACGTCCATGGACGAGCTGGCCATTCTCATAGTGCTCTTCAACTTCCATTTCTCTGCGATGAGTCACGCCTCCGACTCCACCTCCCGGATAACCTGGAATTCCGTAAGTCGCTCCCTGGGACCCCGAACTTGATGATTCAATGTTGAACGCTGACGACTGGCTCTGGTATCCGTTGTGAGATCCGTACACTGAAGGCTGAGCGTTGTAATCTGCACCAGATTGAGGAGAGTACGCCCCAAAGGATCCTGTGGCTCCAAAAATGGTCGATCCTCCAGCTGAACCACCGTAAGTTCCGAAACTTGAAGATGATGTGAGACCTGGACTAACCTGGACTGAAGTCCCACGTCCACGAATTGCTTCCCCCTGAAATTAAGAACTTGATATCGAAATAGGATTTGGTTAGGTGATCTAGAAATTCAGTTTGACCGATCAATTATGAAACGAAACTGAAGAATTGGAAACGAGTAACTACAGACAAACGTTTTTGTTGAATTATTTTGAGAAATATTTAACGAGTAACGACCAATAATTAGTTTTATTTAAATTTTTATGACGCGAATTTTATTACCTGTCCATACACACGTTCTTCGTGTTTCTGAAGCTCGTTGTTCTTCCATTCTTTCTCTGCCTCCCGTCCTCTAACAAGCTGCCCGTTCTCATAATGTTCTTCTACTTCCATTTCGCGCTGGTGGGATATTGCTCTTCCCCCTGTTCGATCCCCACCAGCATATGCTTCGAAATTCCCAAAGGCATCATATCCTGTAGTTCCATATGTTCCAACAGAGGCACCACGGTGGGAAGCTTCGGATGAGGATGAAATTTCATTCGAATAGCTGCTGCTTCCAGTTTGACTTTCTGTGCCAGCGCCAAATGACGAATAAGACTCGTCTTCCGTTTCCTCCGATCTTTCGCCGTCGTACTTTGTTCCCGAAGTTCTACTACCAGTAGAAACACCCGATGCAGAATGTAAAGACTCGTAATTGCCTATTCCTCCGTCACCAATAACAAATGTGCGTGCTCCAGAATTAAGAAGATTAGTTCCTAATTGACTATTAACACGGGATGATTCAATTGCAGCATTTGGGTTAATCCCAGCGGTATTTTGGCCGCGCTGAGTTGATCCCGAGTTTCCACGTTGGTGTTCTGAAACGTAGTTATTGCTATCCCGTTGAGTCTGTGTAGAGTAAGATGAGCCCTGATAGTGTTGGCTATGACTATTTGCTGTTGACGCTGGCCGATAATTGGACTCAGAAGCAGTTGTCAGAGTTCTCCCAGACAAAATATCTTGTAGAGCATCTCGATGGGCGCCCGTTCCAAGCTCGTCTGGACCTTTTTCGGAATATTCCTCATGAATCAAACTTCCATCCGTGAACTGCCTTTCGTGTCTCAAGTCGTAAGTTTGTTGACCATTTTGAAATTCTTGTTCCCGTCGTATCTCTGTCTTCCTCGTCTTGGTAACAGGTGTTACATTTATAGTTACAGTTTCGCCTACGCCAGTACGTTGCCGGTTTCCACTTCGATAACCTTCTTGAATGCCTGTATCAAAACTGTTGCCGTAATTACGATTTTCAATAAAATTAGAAGTGTATCCTCCCCCGCTCATCCCTCTTCCAATTCCCAATAACCATGCATCGTCCTGATTATAGATGGTTTTTCCCAGCGATGCCAATTCAGCCTGGTCCTTTTCATCGTGATCCTCGTGGATAAGCTCGCCATCTTGGAAACGACGTTC